GTTCCAAGCACCATGTCTCACAAGACGACATAGACGCCGCCCAAAACGTCATACAACATGGTTTTATTATCAGCTCAAGATTGCAAGCGTGTTGCGATGCGTTTGTAAGGATGGATTCACCCGAGTTCAAACAGTATACATCTATTGCTAATTTAATTATTATCAAATGTACCTAGTTCAATTGATGTTGCATGCTTCTTCATACTGTTAATTTTGCTTTTTATATGAACGATGGTCATTTGTTCCAAGATCAGCTTTTATTCGCTGCACACATGTTTCTGCTACTTGATTTCAACAAGCAATTTTGTTCTCTTTCGCTCACTGTACCTTAATGCAACCAGTCAGGAAAGCCATAGTAATGCGTTTATCTACACAATCGACGGAGTTCCTTCCTACTGACTGTCTGTCTCTCATTCGTGAAAGAGAAGGAGGGCGTCCTAATGCTGTAGTGCAAGCCCGTAAAATAAATGTTCATTAAAATCGACATGAACGTATTCGTGTTTCGATATATGACTAATTGTCCAACTATTCATTTAGGCGTCAGAAGTGAACTTAACGCAGTCTGAAATTGGATTCATTTTTGGAGTCTACCAGTTAGTCACATTTGTTGCATCTCCTGTCGTTGGTCAGAAAGTAGGTAAGAAAAAACATTTCAGACCTAGCGCCTATCGTTTAGATTAACGTTGGAGGTCCAAAGTCTTTTTTCGTCGTTGGCTGCATTTTTGGTGCGATTACGACAACGGCTTTTGGGTAAATAGATTTCCTTCTCTTTTTTGGACATAACCGACCGTTGGCAATAAAATTTTATATTAAAATATGAAACCAATAGACATCAACCATGGCGCTAGTTTTAACCTGCAGTCTTACAACGACGGTTTTCCAGGTTGTACCACACATCGCTTGAAAAGAAATCTTGGTGCATACCTAGTAGCCAGACGTTTACTAGGAATTGCCAGATGTGTGATTATTCAGCAACATGCAGCTTGTTGAGAGATTAGGATTAAGGTGGTAGTTTATTCACCAAATTTCGTCGTTAGAAACTTTATGATGTAGTTCACGTTGTACTGAAACACTCTGCAGAGCCACATGAAAATCTTATGGACATGACAGATCCAACGATCAGAAGAAAGTTGAATTAATCAGAAACTGGGCACCATTTCGAAACTGATTATAAGCTGGGAGTACAGAATTCATCTGAAACCTGTAGAAATTTTTATATGCATATTTAATTGGCGAGTAAACGTAAAACTACGCGAACTCTATTATGGCGAAGTAGGTCTCTTCGTTCATTTGGATGCCTGTGCTTAAAATTTGAATATCAACCTCTCACACTTAATTCTTTCAGGTTGCCATACAGCTTAGCAATTGTTCCACGAATGTCATGTCTAAAAACAGGCTAATTACAGGTTTCTGCAGTTCGTCAAATCCAGGATCGCTTTCCTCTCCTTTGCGATGGTTGTGCGAGGATTGGAGGGCATTGCTTCAGCGTGTTTCATGACCGCTTCGTTCGCCATCGTATCGTCCGTGTTTCCGAATTCCGTGTCTACCATGATCGCAAGTATACACATCCGCCAGTCAATGAGTTCAGCGTTTGTTTCAGGCCTTCGTAGAAATTTTCAACGGTTTGGGCTTCTCGCTTGGTCCACCAATTGGAGGCGCACTTTACGAGGTTATCATCAAAAAACGTTTGACTCTACTTTCTTCGCATAATCGTTTATTCTGCAGCTGATGCGTTTCCTTCTGTTCACTGAACATATATGCTGATATCCGAAGCAGCAAGCTGTTTATTGTTTAACCGTATTCTACTTTTAGCTAGTCAATGAGCTTCTTGACGATGCGTTGCATAGCTGAACATATGAACAGTTTTCTTGCTTGAAACAAGTCAGGGAGTTTGGCATCTTCACCATTAAATCTTGTGATATGTAGCGTGGCCCAATGGTTTGCCGTAGTTACACGATCGTCGATATGCACGATATGAGTTCAGGATGTTAGCATCATGAATGGGACAGAATTGTTCCTAAACTTTTCAAAGAGACGGTTTATGAGTGACAAATGAGATTGTATCATCCTGCAGTCCAGGATTTTACAATCAATCAGTCATGCATTTCACTTTTACCTCAACTTGTTCCTTAATGAGGTGCTTGAAACATTTGAGTTAAACACAGTTTGATTTTAATCAGGCTATGTTTTCATAGTCGTTTAGAAAAGGAAGATTTCTTAATAGGACATGACTTCTGCGCTTGTGCAGAACCTGAAACAACGGAGGATATTTACTTGTTTATGATTTCTGCATGGCAGTTAAAATATTGATGCTAAGGAGAGACGATCCTCTGAAACATTATAATTCTACTGACCGCACTGTGCGTGGAAAACAAAGGAAACCTCGAAATTGCGAGGTCGATAGAAAGAGCATTTTAGCGGTCATATAACTCAGTGCAGTTCTGTCCTGATGTTGGTTGGTTGGGTCATGGACTCATTGCCATTCCAGACAGGACGTAGTTTCTTTGTCATTCTTCAAATATTGCAGCAGTTTATACAAAGAAGCGTAATGTTGCTAAAACTGATCAGTTCTGCGCCCATGGAGAGTCGAACGAGACAACCATACACAAAGGAGATACACGTTCTTGTGTTTCATAATGGCAACTCTTAGAGATTTAACACTCAGCTGCATTTTTTCTGTGTAAATAAACTTTTGCTCTCAGTGCCGGTTTCTTATAGGAAACCATCGACAGAAGGCTTGAACAACTGTATAACATCTCAAGTATTTATTGTCCATTATAACTCCATTATAACCATAGAGATATTGGCGCTGGAAGCCACACGCTAATTGAAAACCTAATATTTCGATTACAAAGGCTGCTTAACAGCCAAAAGTGATTTTGATGCTCCAAAAGCTGTCCCTGTCATCTATATTCTTCTATTGATTTTCTAGAATCTCTGCTTCGCAGATGTCATATGGATCAGTCGGCCAAATAGACGTGGTTTAGCGCCTCTTTAGGCCCGAAGCGGTAAAAATCATCAATTTTGGGGTCAACCATGTGTCGATTATTACTTAAGTTTTTTCCAGATTCAATGTCCCCCTGCCTTGAAGTCACTGTCACTCAATAGTTGGGCAGATTCCTAGTTGTACTTCTTTTGGAGACCTTGTGAGGACTAAAATGTATTCAGGAAGCAAACAGGCTTATGTAACCTAAGTATACCTCTGATTTTCCCAGTAGAGTCTTTTGAAATCCAGACACGAACGTTCAATCAAACTCTGTTTGAATTTTATTCTTTACGATATTGCTCTCATATTTGCCTTGTGTTTTTAGGTGATTGCTTATGATATGCTTAAATAATTACCTGTTATACGAGTTTATATCTTACCTGATTTCATTGCTTTTAGGTAGGAAACTTCATCATGCCATTCGCCGTGCTCAGCGTCTTGCTGTTGATCGCAGGAGTTCTTGCCATCCCTTTGGTGCCGAAGAACACAGGTCAGACTTAAACAACAAAAGGCAATAAATTGTGTATAAAGAATTTCAGCTCAAAAAGAAGTACCACACTGGAAAGTCGCGCTGTTGCTGCTGAAAATTCCTGGCGTACTTGTTAGTATGGGCGCAAACTTCATGGTTTTGGCATCCATTTCGTTCCTCGATAGTACGTTGGAACGACACGTCGAATCGGTAACGTTCTTT